AACTCGCTGATTATAAGCAACATAAGGTCTTCTTAACTCACTGATTATTAGCAACATAAGGTCCTTTTAACTAACTGATTATTAGCAACATCATAATTTAACCTCACTGATCATTAGCAACATGAGGTCTTTTTAACTCACTGATTATTAACAACAAAATCTCACTAACTAATGTGCTCAATTTAGCAACATTTCTTACAATAAGAAGTATTCTCCACATATAAATTCACACAAATAATGTGGCAAACACCAGGGCTACCAACCTAACAACACAGTACATGTAAGCGACAAACATTTGTTTATAATAAAAAATACAAAGGAATAATAAGCAGAATAGGATTACTGATTTACTGACTGACGATCATCATATAATTCAATACCCAAAGAAGTAGATGAACAACAGGGCGACGTCGTTACAAATCATTGTGGCAGAAAACTTGATGGATTTGAGCCACCAGGCGACCGGTAAATTCAACCACTGCATATATGATGTTAAATACTTGATTGAATTTGCACAAATTGTTGGAAATATTACTAAATTCTCAATTTTCAGCACCTCTAAACTGCCCATTAGTAAATCTTATTTAATTTCCCACAATAATACACATCATATACTGGTACATATATTAGGAACTAATGTATACCTCTCTTCTTCCTTCTTTCTGTCTTCTTCCTCCCTTTCTTTCTTTATTCTTTCTTCTCGCTGCGTTTCTAATTCAATCAGTTTGTCTCTTTCAAGTTTTCTTTTCTTGATATGCTTATCTGATAGATGTTTGGTTTTATCAAACTCAACCTAAATGCAATCAGCAAAAAAAAATTTCAAAATAAAAACCCAATGATTTGTGAGAGTTCAGTTTTTGCTTCACACACCACCAAATCCCATTATTTGGAGGTCAAGTTGAAAATGATTTTATTTAACTGGTACATACCTTGTGATCATGGATTGACCAATCAAAGTGCAGAATCAAGATTCAGTTAGTAATGAGTAAATGTTGAAGCAGGGTTAGTGTAAAATACATGCATGTGAAAACATAGTAAAACACCTCACCTTAATGTTGGCAGTGTAAGCTTTCCCATCTTCTGATTTGTAGAGTAATCTCATACCCCTGAAAGCATTCATCGCTTTCACAAACCCCATGTATTCCAAAAATTGCACAAATGCCGAAAAATGTAGATGTCCACCAAATGTAAATGTCTGGAAGTTGGGAGCACCAGTGGTAACATTCTCCCCTCGATACGGATCAAGCATGGGAATATCCACATGACGCAGCTCTCCAAACTGTTGAAAAACTTTCCTCAAGATGAACTCACTGGGTTTATCTGGGTCCTTTTTGGTGGCAAACCATCGACAAGGGAGCCCTTGTAAATGCATTGTGTCTGGACGTTCTCCCGGTTTTGCCTCGCTCATGTTCTTGGCATCTCGGAAGAAAGAATCCCAGTCATGGCGAGAGGGGAAATGCACCTTTGCTTCAGCAGCACGTACTTTTAACATTTCTGTAAAACCGCTTAATTTAATGTTCTTGCTATCAAGACGCGCTATTAATGTTTTCAGTAATGTCTTTGCTTCCACTTCTCCTTCAAAGCGGATAAATTCCAGAGAACTCTTGGAAACTTTTAACACTGTGAACAGGTCTGGTTTTATCATGTGTTTAATCTTTTCCATCACTTCCCAGTTGCTGATCGATTTTCCAGGAGTTTTCAGTTGAGGTAGAGTCACGGAAATATTCAGTCTGGCAACTGGTTTTAAATGTAAACCCTGTTCCGAAAGAAGCTCTAAAGCCTCCGATGTGTCCGAGCACAGCTGTGCGACTGACATGCTGAGTTTACTTCAGATACAGTGTTGAGTGACTGTGAATAAGGTCTACGTACAGTGTAAACACGAACGAAAACAACAGAGAGGTCTTCTGACTAAAAGTTGATGAACGTCACCGGAACGCCGTTGGTATATTGTTTCATTCAATGAGCAAGTGCCTGTCTCTAAATTTCACCCTTGAGTTTAGCTGTACATTCGTAGTGACAAAACAACAGTCTATAACACTTTGCAAGCAACAATAACATTACCCTATTAAAATCGCTCTATCCCCGGAAAATAAAAAAAACAACTGTCCACAGCGCCGCCATTTTGCACATAGCATCATGGGAGTTACATTGCCCGGACAAACGCATATATTTATGCACGTGTACAAACAATGTAAAAATAACAGACGGAGACAAATCGTGGAATTTATATCAAATACAAGTTTTCATAGAATCCTTGTAAAAACCCTTGTAAAAGTTTGAACTTTTGAACTCACATTTGCTTCAAAACGAGGCTCTGTGTTGTACTTTCTTCACTCTCTGAGCAATATGGCTGATAATTTAGTGCAATTGACAAGCCACTGTCAGCAGCAGGTATTTTTCGTGAACGTTTTTGAAGTGTGTGATAAATAGTGTTTGATTTTCAGACAGTGATCAGAAACATCCCTTGATTGGGATATCTTTAATAATAGACTTCTCGGTAACTTACTATCCCGGAAGCACGTGTCAGTAACATCGAGTCATGTGACAGAATTTTTTGCTCAAAATGTTTACAAACTTTACAACTACACGACAGGTTGTGCCGCGTCGCTGTAAATGTACTAAATTAGTATTGTATGAACAACATTTTCTAAATATTTGTCTTGCGGAGATTCCAAACTTAACAACGCCCTCTCGTGACATGAAATGAGTTATTTATTTGTGTACCTTACTATAGCATAGACCCCTATTTTTAGGGTGTATATTTCAAGTTGTAGAATGTATACGGTATATGTATATGTATATATATATATATATATATATATATATATATATATATATATATATATATGTATAGAATTCTATAGGTAAACAGTGTAAAGGCGGGTATACCACAAGATTTTGCCCAATCATATGAGCGTGAGCGAGTGTGTATATATGGAATGGATTGCGCAATATCGAGTGGTATAGTGGACTTTGACTGTGGTTTATTGCCATTATATTATAACAAAGCCATTTTAAATGTAATTCTGACACATGGAAATAGAAAGCATCATTAACCATGTATAAATGTGATAAGGCACCTAAAATACTATTTGCAATTGTGGTAAAATGGAAATTTTCTCTGGAACTAGCATACAGCAATATAGATACATCAAACAATGCAGCAAACATTTCGGCGTTGCAAGGTTTATTCAAGTAGTTCATCCTGTTAGTGACAGCGTTGATATATAATGTCCATATCGAACAATTCAGCATCTCTATCCCTACTGTGTGCTATTCACGTTCAGGGCCTACTTCTAAACATGAAAAACCATTGTATATTATTATTTTATCACAGCCCAACCAATCAGAATGATGTAATCAGACTATTGAAATGATGGTTTAATATAATTTTTATTTTCCCATCAACGTATTTATTAAATCATAAGTGGAAGACGTTTCAAGTCATTGCATCACACTCCATGGCAAAGCATTCCATATGCTACACAACAATCAAACATTATTGCATCATGCTGTTTCAATATTAGTTTAAAGTCATTTTGCTACACCACACAGCTCACACATCTCTTGTTTTACTGTTATCATCTGACAATAACAATGGTATTTATCTTTTGGAAAAAAATAATTGTGTAGCTAATTGTTTGATGTAATCTGTTCACCCGTATCTCCCAGCAATATTTACCAGTATAATTTATGTGGATGACAATGTGTGAAAACAAGAAGTTGTTCAACTCTAGATTTTTTTTTTTTTTTTTTTAATGCTTCCATATTTGTAGGAAGCTGCTATCAAGTCTTTATCATATGATCTACAACTACTGAAAGATGGTCAGTTACCGGAAGATGTAGAATTGAACGCAGTCTCGCCAAACTTGGCAAAACTCAGAGCTGAAAATGAGAAGTTGAAGTATCGCTTAAATACTCTTAAACGGGTAAGTATTGAAAAATTCTGTCAACTAGGTCAGACAAAAATAAATTCTGTGACATTTCCCATACTTTTTTTTTATATTAAAACGGGGCATGTACATATAGATGACAACAATGTTCGTTTTACTTTGAATGAAAATGTTGTTTCATGTCTACCGGTACTTATCATTTTTGAGAAAGTTGTCATAAATGGCATGACAGTCTTCATTCATTTATTTTGTAAAATCATGGAGCTATTGTCCCATGACACCATGAAATAGCATTTTTGTGTGTGTGTTGCAGTGACATGTTTCGAGAAACATATCCTTATATTTTTCAAAAATCATTTATTTTTAGAACGATTCCCATACAGCATACATAGTGTTAAATAAAAATAGCATTTTCAACACTTTTTAAAACCCAGATTTTTTAAATAATTCAGAAAAACTAAAAGTACTAATAATATATCATAATATATATTTTTCAGCCTGTGTCAGTATCCTACAATTTGTGATATGACATAACAACTCTACCATAGGAACCCATGGTAAAAGCACTATAATACTGCCAGAATGGCCACCATCCATTAAAATATAACCATTATTGCTTTTTCTCGAAAATTAAACTGGTGTCCTCAATATCAATATCCTTATATTGCCTGGAAGAACAATTTATTGAAAAATGAATAAATTCTGGGTATTTGAATTCATGAGTAGGCTACTACCTTAAACACATTGCCTATTGAAAGCCCTCTCTGATAGCAAAAATGAATGGGGAAAAAAAGTTTTAACAGGTTATGTGTTTAATAAGACAAATGAGTTGTATCTTATCCTGGTACGTTATTCTAATATTATACAAGAGTAAATGAATCCAAAACTTTTGTTTTGTTTTAGAGTCTTGCCGAGGAAGAATCCAGATACGAGAAAGTAATGCCGAGTTTGTTAGTTGATTTGAATAGTGTCTTTGAAGGTGCAATTAAAGCTGCTGCCCCAGAACTTGCAGACCCACCCATTGCTATATCATTAAGTACAGCTGAGAAGTTCGGAGAGTATCAATGTAACAGTGCAATGGGTATATCACAGGTAAATTTATATATCCTATATATTGGTAAATGTAGTTTATATATATATATATATATCCAAAGATTCCGGTTGAAAAATAAATATGCCACAAAATTAAGGGTGAAATTTGCTTTGTGAAAGAATAAAGTAATGAATAAGTAGATAGATAATTATACAAATCTGTGTCAGTTAACGTTCAAATAATGACACATGTTTCTGAGGGCAATTCCGCTCTGGAATCATCTATATTATGGTCATGACCACCAGCCCGAGGGCAGGCAACAAATCGAGATATTGCCTAAATCACCATGTGTTGTTTATTTTATTACATTGAACAGACAACCACCATTTACATTCACCTCTCATACACCCGCTATCCCACAAAATAATAACACTTGTATTTAAAGTATGCAATATTTTATTGCATGTATTATAATGATTCGGTGTAAAATTTGCAATCCATTGTTTTACCAATAGAAAGTTGTCACAGATATCCAAAATGAATGGGATATAAATGTGTCATACCAGAAATACAATATGGTGGGCCAATTCTAAAGTTTAATTTGTTATTTTTTGTAGCAACTGAAGGGACTAGGAATAAAGAAGAGTCCTCGAGAGATAGCAGAAACCATTGTGAAAGGATTGCCACCAAGTGAAATGATAGAGAAGGTACAATGTTTTACTGCCCTCTATAGTCATTATCTGACAGTGATCTACTGCCCTCTGTAGTTGTAGTTTTGCATGGTTTTTGATGTTCTCAAAAATCAAGTAGGTTGTCTTTGTAACAAAGTTTAACAAAGCCCATCATCTGAACAGGTTCCATATTATGGTATTCAATGAAATAATATATCAGCACAATTTAACTGTTCCTTGAAGCAAAGCAATTCTGTGTACACATTTGTGTAGTTTTGCAAATGCAAATTAGTCATCCTTCTTGGGATTTAATTGGTGGAAAACTCTGAGTACTTCACTATAACATGACATAACCAGTCTGCATTGGTCATATTCAGCACCTTAATGGCAATGTTATTGTACTGCACTAGCTTTCCATTCATTATGAAATCAATCAATATTTCCCGCTGAATTATTGATTTATTGATTCGATGATATTACCCATTTCCACAGGTGGAGATTGCGGGACCAGGATTCATCAATATTCATCTCACCAAGTCGTTTGTTTCTCACAAACTGAATGAATTGCTGGTGATCGGCGTACGACCGCCGCCAATTGGACGTAAGAAGCGTGTGGTTGTTGACATGTCTTCTCCAAATATTGCTAAAGAGATGCATGTGGGTCACTTAAGGTCAACTATTATTGGCGATAGTATAAGTCGGCTGTATGAATTCTTAGGTAAATATACTATACTGAAATTTTTTAAATTCATCATAATTGCATTGATCTTTTGAAAGTCACAATTTATCACCAAATAAACCAACATGTAACCAAGAGAAAAATATGTCAGTTTGAATAAAAAAATTAGAGAAAAACATATAAAAATGTGCTAAATAGTCTGGATCATCATTTTGGGGGGAAACATGGCATTCACTAGGTTGGAGTTTTGCAATTAGAGCAACTATGAGCAACTAGAAAATATGCAGAATATTTAAAAGCACGGCAAATTATTGATATTTTGACAAATAAATAAATTCCAAAGAGCCAATAAAATGAAGGGTTACTAAAACATGTTACCAAGGCAACCAAGACTTTGTGGTGGCCATTTTGTTTTGAGAATTGATCAAAATAATTCCAAAACACTGTTTGATTTTTCTAGGTCATGATGTGCTACGTCTTAATCATATCGGTGATTGGGGAACACAGTTTGGTATGTTGATAGCGCATTTGATGGACAAATTTCCTAACTACGTGGCTGAGTCTCCTCCTATTGGGGATTTACAAGATTTTTACAAGGTAATAACTCTATGTAAAATGTGGTATATATTAATAAATATATAAATATGGCGTGAACGTAGATGTTATGACTGAGGTATCTGATGGGCTTATTTGAAGTGTGTGCCCTGCAATAGATAATTTTCCATTCACTGCGAGAATCATGCGTTATGCGTGAAATCGAACGTGAAAACACGACAAACAAAGGTCATAGCATCGTAGTGGCGTCAAACATCGCGTGGGATTCGACAAACGCGAAAGTATTTTGAGGGACATTTCCATGCTTAATAATGTGCTGTCCACATTTGACGATAGGCAATTTCAATTACGTGAGGGTATTCGCAAGCAATATTCCTCTGAGATCGGCCGGTCGATGTGAGCTACGAAATAAAGAAATTCTAGTTCAAAATCAAATCGTTCGATTTTTGCGGCAGACATTTGACGCGCGTCTTTGATGCATCTCGCAAGATCTCACAATTGTACGGGAAATCACCTATTGTGGTGAAATCAAAGTTTAGATGAAATTTATTAACAAAAATATAGGTCCCCCTGTACATCATTGACATTTTTGAGATGAGTAAACTATCATATAAGTAGTAAACTGTATTGATCTTTACCATTGTTGTCGCTTTAATAAAATTATTTCAGTAAATTCACACTTATATCAGATTTCCTATAAGAACATGCTTCAAAATCTGAGAGGTGTTGTGTAAAGAAAGATTTAATTTAATAGTTATTCTTATTTGGGAATTTTATAAGGGTTTAGTCTACAACAGAAAGACATTTACTAGTAATCCTATTGAACATTTTTGTATGGTTGCAGTCTACAACAAGAACGCTCGATAGAAGCTCTCGCTCCAGCAAATTCTCTACTAATTCATGTAATTTCATTGACATAGTATTTTTGTCCAATCATTGACATTGTTTCTTGTCTCTCAGGAATCTAAGATCCGATTTGATAATGAAGAAGAGTTCAAAAAACGTGCATATTCATTGGTTGTTAAATTACAAGCTAAAGAACCGGATATTACCAAAGCATGGAATCTGATATGTGATGTATCTAGGAGAGGTAAAAAAAAAAACCTCTTCCCATCTCAACACTCTAAATGCTGTATTGACCTATGATTTCAATATGTCCATATTTTTGCAGGACATTTCTGTCAATCTAATAATATCAACTGAAGTGAGTACAAAAAAAATGTGATATTATAATATTTCATTCTTACAACTTTTTTTTGTGCAGAATTTCAAAAAATTTATGACCGCCTTGATATCAAAATAGTTGAACGTGGGGAGTCTTTCTACCAGGACATGATGGGAGATACTGTCAGGGCCCTTGAAGCAAAAGGTAAGATAAAGAACAAGTTGACCATCAGAAATTCCGGGTGGAAAGATGATATTCTGATTTAAGCTGTAATAGTAAAAAACGCTGTCTCATTGTCTCATGCTTGGTGACCAGACACATACATTTTTGTTCATGTTCTAATGACTTATATTTGCACATGAATTTGTTTTTCGCTTTTGATTCAATTTTATCTGGCAACTTCATTATTGGAATGTGTTAACTGTTTTTCAGAAATATCTGGGTCCAATTATGTATAATTATCTGACGTAGAAAAGTTTGAACTTCAGAGTTGTGGGGGATGAAGTTGATTGTCTTTAATAGTGTATTGAAATAGTATTATATTGCTCTTTTCATAGCGCATATGCTTGCGTAAGTGACAGATGTCACTGCCATATTGTTCTGAGCACCAAAACGGCAACATTATTGCCTGCTAAGTTGCTCACTGGTTGCCAATGTGCACCTGGAGAATGTTATGCGATTAGAATATCGCACATTGGGTCAAACCCAACTTCCACAGGAGACGTCAAACTAATAGTGGGGAACTCAGACACAGCAGACTATAAATAGAAGATCACGATGCGATTGCCTTTCAATTTATTTCTGTAAATCATATAATCTATATAATAAATGGTAAAGTTATCCAAACAAAATGCATGTACTGACACAGTATGAAAAATGTCAGGACACAATCAATGGTGTGTCCGGTGTGTGGCATAAATGAGGGCACTTAGCCGAACGGCGCATCCTCGTTAAAGTGGTTTGAACTAACCAGCTCTTATCATGTATTGATCTCAAAAAGCGCATCACAAATCACTTGGCAACGTAGCTGGTAATGTTGCTGTTTTGGTGTTTGGAACAATATAGCGATGACAGTAATGATCCAGTTTAAACAATAAATGAAATTTTTAGTTTATTTCCACTTTTTGAGATGCACAACTAATAGAATAAATATGGAATACCAAAGGTACACCAAGGCAAATTAACATCTTGGTAATTGCTATACATGCCTTCATGAGGTTCAAGTCTACCTGGTACATGTTTGGTTAGTCAGTCAAAATGGTGGAAAAACCAAAATTTGATACTTTACTCGTTATAATAGTTGAATTTTGCTTAAACAATATTTTGTTATTTTCCTTTAGCCATTACAGCGGGCGTAAACAAGATTTGTACGAGTAACTTGCAACTTCCCTGGGAAAGTCCCTATCAATGTTTCTATTACCCCATCAGTTTTCCCAGATGGTTGAAGCGACTGCAAATATGATTCACATGGATAATTTTTCTTCTTTATAGTCATAACAACGTTGCAATATATCTAATAATTGAAACAAAATTTACGCTATTCTGTCGATGGACACATCTATTTCATTAGAAATGAGATTGTTACAAAATGTAAAAAATTGTTTTCATAACATTAGATTATTTGATAGTACCAAACCCCTCACTATATTGCAATCTTCATGGGAGAATTCCTAGGGAGTTTGCCAAATTCCTGTATAATGCTTGTTTGTGCTCACTGTTTAACCATCTCTAAAAATAATGTTATTGGTCAACTTGATGAAATATTACTGTCATGGACTGTCATATTTTCGCGTGTGTTAATTACAGGCGTGGTTGAAGTGGATGATGGAAGAAAAGTAGTATTTGTACCCGGACATGATGTGCCTTTAACCGTAGTCAAATCAGATGGCGGCAATACTTACGATACATCAGACATGGCTGCCTTACATCATCGGTTATTTGATGAACATGCTGATGTTATTCTCTATGTTGTTGATGCAGGACAGGTAAATTAAATTAAATTAAATTAAATTAAATAAAACTGATTATATAATTCGGTTGTAAATTGACAAAAATGTCATACTTTGAGATTTAAACCATGTTATTGCCCCCTAAGTACAGCTTTCTTAACCCTATGTTGAGTCAAATATATACAAGGCAAAATTTGATATGTTGAAAAAATCTGACAACAAGCAAGCTGCTCTCCGATTGGGATTGGGTAGCCAATCAGGTACAGTCTTGTAAGTAGCTTTGCATTGACTCAAGAATTGACTAAAAAATCTGCAAGCTGCTCTCTGATTGGTGTTAGGGTTGTGTAGCCAATCAGGTAGAATCTTGTAAGTAGCTTCTTTTGACTTCAAATACTTGGCAAAACTTGGCAAGTGAGAGCTAAGCTGCACAATACCGATAACTATTACCAGTAAACTATGTGTAAGCAAAACCTAATATAAAGTCCTTTCAATTTTGAATAACTTATACTGACCGCTGATGTACTGCATTGTTTATCCACTAAGTTATTATTTTCTTTACTATAGTGAATTCTGTCCTGAATTGCTGTTCAAATTATGTGCTAAACACAACTAACCTAGGAAATATTCATTGTTGAATTTTCAGAGTTCACCTGGATGGTGGGGCAATACAGGTGTTTGGGTGTACATGTGTATGTCTCCCCTCTAAATAGACAAATATTGTAATATATTAAAATATTAAATACACAAATATTGTTGATTTCATTATAGGGGCTGCATTTCAATTTAATATTTGCGGCTGGTAAATTGGTTGGATGGTATGATCCATCATCAACACGTGTTGAGCATATTGGATTTGGTGTTGTGCTTGGTGAAGACAAGTAAGTACAGGACTATAGGATTATGAATGGTACCAGTGTTTTGTACAGAGAAATGGGATTTCATTGCGAATTTTATTATAAATTTCTGAATTTCCAATCTCCAATCTCCCTCTTCCCAGAAAAAATTTAGTGAAAATAAGGCTTAGACAGAACATTGAACTCTTCATATATATTTAGGCATCACTTACAAATTCCAGTGCTAGTAGAGAATTTCTAGTATGCAGCTTTGTGAAAATGTTTTTGAATTGTCACTGATGTTCACAATTTTGATTTTTCTGTGAACAGGAAAAAATTTAAAACTCGTTCTGGAGAAACGATAAGACTGGCAGACTTATTGGAAGAAGGGTTGAAGCGATCTTTACAGAAGCTGAAAGACAAGAACAGACATGAGGTAATATACGAAGAAGGTTTGAACTGATGCAGTCTGATTAAAATTTGAAAGTATTGTGTGATCTCTACTTTTCCCAGTCACCTGCTCAGACATTTGATCAACACCTCTGAGTAAATTATTCAACCAATCAGAATGGTTTACTACCAGATTGTGTTTTTGTACACTTTGAGACGAACATTTGATATTGCAAGACTTGTATACTCTTAAAAAAATAATATTATTTTGAGTAACCCACATTGCTTTTGGCGAGACAGACTTTATGCTGTTTCCCACATGGAAATTTGATAGCTTTATAAATCATGGTGATTGCTTCTCAGTAAAACCAATACCATCATGTTTGGCATAATTAATGCATCTCTATAGGAGCAAACATTCAGTCATATTTTCCCTGTATTTCAAAATTTATTTTGATCCAGACACTTCATCACTACATTTTGCTAAACTGGACTTCCTTTCCATATTGACAATCTTTCGCCTTCCATAGAGGCTCTCAACAGGGGATGTGTTAAGGGAATCAAAGTTGAGAGCTGATAGTGAACATGAGAAAGGCTGCTTAATAATTCCAAATGCTACTTGGGTTTAACACCATAAAGGGAAATCAGTCGTCTCCATGGTAATTTGGGCACCCCATTTATTATTCGATCTTAGTCTTTATTTGATATAACCTTTTCTGCAGCATAATATCAATTTGTAATGATTATTAATTTCCCACATTTTAACTAGTGAGCAGTGTCTGTCCATTAAACCTGCTAGTATTGCAATTATAGATAGTGTGTACTACTCTTGGTGCAAGTTTCTTGTATTATTCAACAGATTCTGACAGCAGAAGAATTAAAAGCAGCGCAAGAATCAGTGGCGTATGGTTGTATCAAGTACAGTGATTTGAGTCATAACAGAGTCAATGATTATGTGTTCTCATTTGATAAGGTAGGTCTCCATGACAACAAGTTTTTCTGAATCTCAAGAGAAGTTAAGAATGTTTTATGTAGAATAGAATTACAGATGCTAGCTAACATGAAACAAAACTGTTTACTTTCAATTGAATTTACTAAAAAATTATGAATTTGATTTTAAAAATTAATTATAGTTGAGGTTCAATGAGCCATTTGATTTTCTCCTTGTTGAACTACAGTGCAGTGTTCTGCCCTCAACTGTGTTTTCTTATAATCCTTTTGTTTTTTACAGATGCTTGATGATAAAGGAAATACGGCTGCATATCTTCTTTATGCATTTACAAGAATCAGGTATGCAATATACTTTCATACTAAGCTGGAAAAACAATGAATCTTTGCATAAAAAACAATCTGACTATTTATAGCTGAATACTCACATTGTAATTTTTACTGACTGCTACTGTTGTTGAATTTTGATATAATTATGGATTCTTGAAAAAATGATCTCATTATTTGAAAACTGATTAGTCAAATGAGAAATAAACATGATAATGAAATGTATGTTTTAGAGGATCAAAACAACTTATTTTACAATTTTTCATACTTTTCAATTCATCAATATTCAATATTGTATGTGTGTTGTTTCACCTAAGCTAATTTAGCACTCAGATATTTTGTGATTTTATCTATAAAAAAACACCTTGAATCTGGTGTACTGTATTTGCTCTATTAGAAGCGCATCTACAATAAAAGCCTATTTGTTGTATACTAAATAATTAAAATATTACTTTTTTTGACAATAGAAACACCTGTCATTTGTGTAAGCACATGTGCTTCTAATAGAGCAAATAAAATATGTAAAAAGAAAATTTGTGAAGTTGAAAGGAATTTATTTTTTTGGATTGTCCAATTTTACTGAACACCTTTGGCCTCTCATAAAAAAAAAAAAAAACACTGATGGTTGGTTGTTTATGGTAAAAGTCACAAGTGTGGGATATTTTGCAGGTCAATTGCACGTTTAGCCAACATAGACAGAGATACTTTAAAGAAGGCAGCTGAAACCACTGCAGTAGATCTGGATCATCCCAAAGAATGGAAACTTGGTAAATGTCTACTACGTCTTCCCGACATCCTGTTACGAGTCTTAGATGATCTCTGTATGCATACTTTATGTGATTATCTCTATGAAATATCTACAACCTTCACTGAATTCTATGATCACTGCTACTGTGTGGAGAAAGACAGACAAACAAGTAAGATATTTCACTCCTCGTTGTTATTGAATTGAAGATCCAGACGAAAAAAATATTAAGTTTTTTGTGTACGTCAGTTAAAAATATGCATGTAACATTTTTAACTCCTGTGTGTGAATGCACACAATGGAGTCTTTGCAGTTAGTCTGTCTGTGTGTCTGTGTATGTGTCAGTCTGTTTCACTGATATCTCAAGAACCATATGTTGGTTTTTGATGAAACTTGATGCATTGATGCTCTGGGCTAATGTACAGATTTGATTAGATTTTGGTTAAAATCAGTGTTTATTGATTACCTGCATGATTTTCGGCTGTTCCATGACTGTTCCACTGATATCTAAAGAACCACTCCTAGGATTTTGATGAAACTTGGTACATATATGCTTTGGGACAATACGCAGAGCTAATTAGTTTTGGGTAGAAATTCCATGCATATTAATCACCTAATTTACATAATGATTTGTCAATTTTCAACTTTTCTACTGAGTACTAATAATCACATTGCAATGAAACTTGGTACATAGATGTCATAAGACAATGCAGAGATCTGATAAGTTTTGGGTTAATATCTATGTGTATTAATTACATAATTTGCATAATTATTCAATTTATTGGTCTTTCCGCAATCTGATTAAAATCTGATGTAGTGTACGGGCTTTAATTATTGTGGCTATAAACTTATTTTAATTTTATTTTTTATTACTTTTGTTATTAATGCCCTTTTATTTTATTATTTTACTTTGATTTTGATTTTGTGATTTTTTTTTAATTCTGCCCTACCTACATCTGATCCGACGCCTATGTAAGTCCCGTTCAAATCTCGCATAAGTAACAGCCAATCACAGCCCCCCTTTTATACAGGCAGTCGGTTGCTTACTTTTCAGTGTAGCGATACTCTACGGGCAATCTTTCTGTACATTATATTTTGCCCACTTGAATAAACCATTAATAGAAAATTGCTAGTATATTTTTATTTGCAAAAGAAATTCCACAGCATTTTACAATTTTTGTCATTACATTGAATATTTTTTTCACTTCCAACAAATGTGTACACTTCCAGATACATCTTCGCCAACCAAGGTTCGTTCATTCAGTCATCGCTTCAATTTTACATCACTGAGCATAATTATCTAGAATGAAGCAAAAAAA